TAATAATAATAATAATAATAATAATAATAATAATAATAATAATAATAATAATAATAATAATAATAATAATAATAATAATAATAATAATAATAATAATAATAATGATAATAATAATAATAATAATAATAATAATCGCCTGCTCGTTTCGTTATTTGGTCGCGCGTTGGCCCTCTCACGCTGGCATTCTTCTCGTGGACTGTTCTTTTCGACCGGTTCTAATCTAAACCGAGTAAACCGAGTTGGTAGTTTTTTTTTTTTTTTTTTTTTTCTTTTCTTTCTTTTTTAGAAAAGGGTCTACTCAGAATGGAAGGGCCCCGCGCGATTATCGCTAGCAGTAGTACGAGGTCGATAGTCCCAGCTTGCAGGAAAACGGCGCCCTACGCCGGTTGTACACACTTCCGGTGCTGATGACGTCCTTCGTCTCGCACCGCAGACCCGTGAAGCCTTCCGCGCATCTGTAATTAGGAAAAAGAAGAGAAAAAAAAAAATAATAAGAGTTCAATCAAATCAATTTTTTTGATTTCTCGATTTTTTGTCTCGATGATTCGATCGAGGAGAGCAAGAGGAGGAGAAGAAGGAGGAGAAGCAGGAGAGAAGAGAGGAAGAGGAAAAATTCCCGCTATTTATTCGGCAAATTTTGGTGGCGCGGGCCAGACGGAGGGGGGGGGGGGAGGGGAGAGGGAAGATTCGAGGCAGAGACAGCTCGATGCGCCCAAGACGTTTCTTTGGAAAAATAATGTTATGCCGACGTCGTCGTATTTATAGCACGGTTAACTAACCGCGGCGAGACGCGGCACGAACGCTGGTAGACGTGTCGTTTGCGGCACTCGCGTGTTCGCAAGCCAGAAGCGGAGGGTCATCACCGTAGAATCAGAAACGTCCGCCCGGCTGCTAAACGATTTTACGCGTGTTTCTTCGTAATTGCATACCTTTCCCTCAAACGCGGGAATTTCATTTGAAGAAATACAAAGATTTTTCCCATCCACGAACGGTCGAACATCTCCCGATTACAGCCACGTTTCCACGAATATTATTCTGTTTGGAACGGGGGCAGGGGGAATTCTATCCACAATGGAATTTCAACACGGGGAAATGGTACATGCGAGAGAACAGAGTCGGGTCCAAGAATCGTAGATTGTCCCATTGATACGATCCTGGGGGAAATCAAAGGGGAAGCATCTCTAACCCGCGACCCGAGCGTGCGATAAAGCATATTTTCGTCCACGACAAATTTCCTACGTCTAAATCCTATTTCTATTTCGCGCGCATAGATAAAAATCTAGATTTTCCTTCTACCGTAGAATCGTTCGATTTCGGCTCGAACGGAAAAAGAGAGGGAGAGAAGAGAGAGAGAGAGAGAGAGAGATAAAGAAGAACGGGAGTAGGGAAAGAAAGAAAAGAAATAAAAACGTTTCTCACAGCGGTCGGTATATGTCTGTCTACCGTGAAAATTTGTCGCGCGTCTGGGTACGCGTTTAAAGGTGTATTAAAAAACTGACAGGGGACACATGCTACATGCCGTTAACGCGATAAATATTGGCGAAACAGAACGACTTGTTTGCATATTCGGCCGAGGAACGATCCGTGCACCGAGATTTTGTAATAAACTTTGCCAAACGATTCTCGCGATTTTAACGACGGCTATCCGTGACAATCTCGCGGTGAAACGGCATTCCTTCCGTCTCCCCTCCCTCCTTTTCCCTTTTCCGACTCCCCGTCCCCTCCCCCTCCCCACCTCCTCCCTTTTCCTCTCCTTCTTCTTCTTCTCCTCCTTTTCTTTTTTTTTTTTTTTTTTATTCCGTTCGAGCGGCACCCTCGCTCGCGAATTTACGAGGACCACGCACTAAATATACTTGGCGGCAGATTTACCGTTGGACAAACCAGAAACAGCAGCGGAGATAGTGCAATTTACTGTACCATTCACTTGAACCCATTAACGCTCGCCGAGGTAACTTCGTACGAACACGTAATTGGCTTTCCATTGAGATTTATCGTAATCATGCGTGTTTACCGGGAGCGGGGGGGCGGGGGGGTGGGCAGGGGTAGTAGTAGCGCTCTTTTACACGAGTACAACGTTTGCGAATAAACTCGTCGCGAATCCGGTGGTCGCGACTTTGCCGGGGCGGAAAAGCGCACAATGGATCCCCCCCTTCCCTACACCCTCCCACCCTTGTTGGGAAATTTTACCCCCGTAGAAACGGGGGCCTCTGTTCTCCGCGTGTTCGTTGACGATTTCGGAGAGGAGGGTGCCCTCTCCCTCCTCGACGCTTCTTTTCTCGACGCACGCTTTCTCTCTGTGTGCGTGTGTGTGTGTGTGTGTGTGTGTGCCGAATAATTTTCCATCGAGATTAACGCGCGTGCAAGTTTCGTTGAAATAACGAGGGTGTGTCCGATTCGAAAACGCCGTCCGATTCGAAACGGGTTAAAATAAACGGAATAATTCGGGGGAGGGGTGGCGCGCGCGCGCGAGTTAATTAATAATTTTCGAGCGTCGGTGACGGCGGATATCAGACGGCGGCGGGGAGGGATACAGGTGGAAACGAAAAACGTTAAGCGCGACGACGTACGACCGACAGCGGTCGTTAAAATCTGATTTTTCTGAATGACGGATTTTATGGGGACGCGATTTCTCGGTTGAGCGTAAAACTCGCGATAGCGCGGTGTATCCCAGGCTCGATAACACTTCCGCGACGAGTACGTTACAAGTGCGTGCTGCAATATTTATACGCGCTTCTCTACGCCGCGTCGTAAAAAACGTAATGGTAAATTAAAGTTCCTCGTTACGTGGACGTCGTAAAAGTTGCTCTTACGGGGAACCGATTGTTCGCCTATGCTTGTCGTTTGATCTTTGGTAATTACCATTTATCGATTATCCTAGGTAGTTGCGATTTAAAGAAGAATAATCGTGGAAGTAATAGCGGCCATGAGTAGGTAACTATGAAATACCGTAAAACGCAATCTTGCAAATTAAGCTTCTACAACGTCGTCGTGTGACTTCGAAGTCACGTATCCATGTATCTATATTTTCTTCTCGTAATTTCTATTTCTAAATTTCTTAATTAGAGACTATATAATTTTTTCTCCTTTTCTTTTCCTTTTTCTTTCTTTTTCTTCTTTCTTTTCTTTTTTTTTTTTCCTTTCTTTTACGAAAACAGAACAAAAATTGGATCATAATAATACCACACCACGCGTGATCCCGCTTTCGAATCGATTCTTTTACGCGAAAAATAACCCTTTTCGAGGAGAGAATTTCTCTTCTCGCCTATCGTTCTCTGATAACGGGGGTAGGGTGTCAGATTCCCCTTAATTAATTCTCCTCTTTTTTTCTTCTCTTTTTTTTTATGGTGGACAACGAAACCTCCTCCTCCCACTCCTACCAAAACTGTCAAACTTCGAAGGAATAAGAAATTAGAGAGGCGGAACGTCGAAGCGGATACTTTGCTGCGAGTCGATCGCTTCAAGAACGAATCCTTTATTATAGGGGGAAAAATCGCTCGTAAAGTTTCTCTGGCTCTTTCCTTCTTCTCTCCTCACCTTTGCCGAAAACAGGAGAAACTTTTGTTTTCGGGAAGGAAAATGGGGGGAATAAAAATAAATTCATGGAGGAATTCTTTTTCCTCTCCCTCCTTCTTCCCTTCTCCTCCCCCTCCTCCTCCTCCTCCTCCTCCTCCTCCTATAGGATAATTAGCGAATCAGGAACGCGTCGAAGAAATCGTGAAATTATTTTGCCTCTTATTAACGAGATTTTTATTATCCTATTCGTCGAAACCGGATTTCTTAATCCACCGAGTTATTTAGAAATTAACGATTTCTCGAGTCGTTTTACTGTTGACGATAAACCGTAAACCAACACGGAAAGCGGCAACCAACACGGGTCTTAGCCACGGGTCAGCCATCCGGTCGCAGTTGGTGAGGGGGTGGGTGTACGTATGTATCACGATCGCAAAAATTAAAAGTAGCTTTTTATATAGGGGTGGCCGGAGCCAGGGATGCGAAACAGAGCCAGGTTTTAGAAACTCGATGCCTGTGCGGCGGCCCGAAATAGGAAGGGATGAAAGAGGGTGGTGGTTTTCCTCCTGTATTAATTCCCATATATGCCGCGAGCGAGCCTCGGCCCGTAACTGCACCGGAAACCGGTGTAGCAAGCCAGTGTGTATACCACTGGTCGGCGGGGTACTACGGTCGAAAGAAACTTTTTTGCGGTTTACTTAATTTAATAACGCTGCCGCGGTACGCAATTTCAAAGATAACGCTTTAAATGGCGGGGGGGGGGGAGAGCACTACACTCCCTCGCGTTCCAACCTCCCCCACCTTCCTTTCTTTGCACGCTTGCACCGCGTTCTTTTCTTCCCTCTCTCCTCCTTCCATCACCTTTTTTATCACCTTCCTTTCCCCTCCCTCCTCCTGTTTCTCGCCTCTGCGCGTCTGTCTGCTGTTCCTCTTCGAAATTATTCGAGCGTGCGTGGAACGCATGCGCGGCCTATCCTCGCTATTCGTGTCTCCGAACGTGTGTACAGAGGCACGGTTATAACGTGGCGTACTTTATTTCGAAACAGTCTCGAGCAGCCACGCGGCAGGGGCTTTCCTCCTCCTCCTCCTCCTCCTCTTCCACGCTCGTTGCCCCGCGCTCACCAACCCCCCGTGGATAGCTTGCCGCGAGCGAAACTGGGTTAGGTCTCGGTTCTAGCCACCCGCCGAGCGTTGTGCACCCTGCGCGCTCTTGCCACCTGTGCCGAGTCGAACCCACGTATCTCAACCTTAGCCTTTCCCCTTCCTTCAACTTGGCCGCGCACACCGCTATTCAACCGCCTTCGGACGGTTCAGGCGTCCGGTTACGACGCGTATAAATATAACGGTATTATCGCGATACGCGTAAGTTAAGTAGTTATTTAACCTGGACGATTAGATTGTATGCATATATATATATATATATACGCGCGCGCACGCATGCACGATGATTTCTCGAGAGATTCGTTTCGAGAAGAAATTCCTTCGAGGTAATTCTGTTCGAAGAGGATTGGATCGAAGCGAGGATCGAAATCGATCTCGTATCGTTTCTCGATTTGATAAATAAACGAAGAACGATGGAAGGAGTGGGATAAGGGATTCGTTATCCCTTAATCCTTGGTGGGTCTTTCAACGCGCGACCCTTCTCTCTCGATGATATACGGCGATTACGGGGTTGCCCGAGTAATTAGCGCAAACTTCCTCCCTGCTCGACAGCTGCCTCCACGAAATTTGCGGTCAAAGGATGGGCGCATTCGTAATATCTTGTTGGATCACAATCGCGTTAACGAAAACCGATCGTTCCTCCTCGTGGTCGTGGTCGTTTCATCGATAAACTTTGTCCAATCGTGTGTCGAGCGGGCCGATCGATGGGGGAGAAAGGGCGTAAAAGCGGCGGAAAGAGAAAACGAGGAGCAAGAGATACGTTTCGAGATAGGAAGTTAGCAGC